CACACACACACACACACACACACATTTTCTTTCTTTTTTGTTTTCCATCTTTTTTTTGACAGAGTCTCACTGTGTACCTCTGGCTTTTCCTGGAACTCACTATTTTGACCAGGCTGGCCTCAAGCTCATAAAGCTCCACCTGCCTCTGCCTCCCGAGTGCTGTGATTAATGGCATATGCTACCATGCTTAGCTAGAAGTCATTTTCTCACAGACTTAAAAGGTAGTCGCAGAAGGGCTGAGTCCCTACATTCTATCTATTTGATTTAGAGTCATGTGACATGACGGTGGAAAGGAAGACAATGAGAGATCTCCGACTCAGAAGCAGGTTCCACAGGAGCTGCTCCCTTGGGAGCTAGATAAATCAGAATTTCCTTGGAGGGGTTAAGGAATGCCATAATCAGCACATCTCCTCTTCCCTGCTAAGTTCTGAGCTACTGGAGACAAACACAACCCACTCCAGATGGTGTTGTACAGATACTGAAAATTCCATCTGAACATGTTGTTTAGGTTCCTCATTTGGGCTTCCAGGTCTTGAGTCCTGAAGCACATGGTCATGATCTGTAGAAATACACTATACTTTTAGATAAGAGTCACAGATGTGCCTGTTTGCCCATCTTTAGACTCACGCCTAGAAAGGCCAGATAGAGCCTTACTAAAGGCTTTGATTTGTCCAAGTTGACTTCTCTTTGCAGATGACACTCCTTGAACTTCATCCCTCAGAAAGCCATTGGCATGAGTATTGCTCACCTCACCCGAAGATGGTCCATAGACCACACTCAGCCAGATGCCCAGGAGATGAGCTTTGTTTCAAGTTTAACGTTGAAGGGCCTGATGTGTTAAGCCCCAGGAAGGAAGGATTCTTGTCATACTTTTTATCACCACTGCCTAATGTGGTGTTGGAATTATATATCCTCATGGTTTAATATGTTAGGGGAACCTAGATCTTCTACAGTTTGCCCAGATATACACATTTACAGTATAGACGGATCTCATCGTTCAATCCATCAACAATGAAAAACCCCATCAAGATTCTCTTTCACACTATTATAATGCACACAGGCACATTTTCAGGAAAAACGTAAGTTTTTGGTCTTTCTAAACCTACTATGCTCTTTCTGGTGTCAGCTTTTAATCATTTGGAGTTCATGAACAAATTAGCATTTAAAAAAAACTGACTGAATACTTAACTAATATTTAATATTCCTAGTAGCCAGAATAAGAATGGTGCCTCCTTAAAATGTGCCAGTGTTTTGAGGTGTGACAAATTGCCATTTATATTTAGGAACTTCTGTTAGATACTTGTTAAAGCATAAAGAAATCACTATGTTAAACATTTAAAAAAAAAAAAAAAAAAAACAACCTTTGGCCCTTTTTGCTTCTAGGACAATTACCCTCATAGCCTGAAAGCAATTGCATTTATTCACCATGTTCCTCTTATTTTCTTGTTTGACTCTTACCATGAAATTCTGTAATGCCTAGTGCCTGTCTGATTCACACGGTTGTTAAAATCATTTTACTTCATATCATTTCATGATAGGACAGTAGGAAATAAATGCATTCCTTTTCTGCCATCGGTAATACAGAGCTCTTCAAATTAAGTATTTTCTAAACTGATATATAAAATATTTTTTCAAGGATAAACTTTTAAACTCAAATCGTATCTGAAAATTCAACAACTTCAATAATCAATACTTTCACAATTCTTTCCTTTGTTTTAGGAGTCTAAGATTCCCATGAATTCTTCTTAATATTACTCAGTTCTTAATGGAGTCTTAGAAAAAGCCACAGTGTAGTGACTATGGTAGTTGTTTATCTCTGCCCCTTTAAGAAAGATAAATGTGGTCACTTTGCATTACTGGAGTGTGAGACACATAATAGAGAAGAGACAGAAAATGCATAATTCAGAAGACAGTGATAGTGACTTGTGGTTGTCCTGAAGCCAAATCTCTAGCAGCTCAGGGTGGAGCTTAATGATGGAGTGCTTGTCTGCATGCATAAGGCCATGAATTTGATCCCCAGAACTATAAAAAATAGATAAAAATGATTCAGTTAAATATCATAATTCAACTGGGCATGGTGGTGCATGCCTTTAATCCCAGCACCCAGGAGAAACAGACAGATCTCTGAGTTTGAGGCCAGCCTGGTCTACAGAGTGAGTTTCAGGACAGCCAAGGCTATATATAGAGAAACCCTGCCTCAAAAACAAACCAAACCAAAATCGTAATCCTGTTAAACAAACACAAAAGCAACAAATGAGGTTTAAAAGGGACTTGGAATTATAAAGCAACTTGATAAATTTGCCAATGAAGAAATAAAAATAAATGAACAGATACAGCCGGTCTGTTGGCTGGACCCTTGAAGACTAAGGAGACAGCTCTTGTATTACTGAATGACAGGGTGGTCGGAAGAGTTGTCATAGCAACAATAAGCCATGGGTATAGGTCCTTAAGGAAGAAAGACATGCTGATGTGACACTGTAGACTCTTCCAGTTTGCCGTGGCTTCCCAGACCATTACTTGGAAAGAGGGTGTTGGGTGTGTGGTCTCTCAAATGCTTCATGTAAGCAGTTTTACAGTGGGACTTCCATCAAGATCCATCTGTGGATCCTGTTTAATGGTTGGACTTCAGTAATGTCCGTCTGGATAAACGAAGCGGTTTTCCACAGTGCAGACTGGAGAATCACTGCACAGTGGAAAGTGCTCATTGTTCCTTGCGTGCTTGCTAATGCTCTGAACTCTCTCTTTCCCGTTCTGCTTCATTCCTTTGGCTCAGTAGCATTGATGTTATCAACCCAAAGTGTCAATGTAAGTGAGTCTTAATGGGCTGCAAGGGCCTTTACATGAATTGAAAAAGCATTTAATCCTGTTATACTCTGTTGTCTTCATTTTATTCACCGTGAGGTTTTGTTTTGCTGCCCCTGCCCCCCCCCCCGCCCCCACTTCTTTTTACCAGAAAGGGTTTAATTGCACTCCCTCTGAAAGTTTATATAAACGAGGCTGGTGTGTTTGAGGGAGTGCAGTCCTGGGGCAGGGACATCTGTGGAAAGAGCAGTCTCTTTATTGAAACAGTCACCCTGCGAGTTGATGACCTTGTGGCTTTCTCCAGTTTAACCAAAGTTGCAAGGCTAACGGCTTTTTCCGTGTACCTATGATAGCTAACCATGACACCAGCTTTTTGACTTGCCAGCGTTCATTATGTTATTTAGTGAGCATTGCTAAGGGAAGACAAATTCAGCTTCCACTGGCACAAGTGATTTCCCTGGTCTGAATTGTCAGTCTAGTCCTTGGTTTTACACACCCAAAGCTCTGTAATGGAGTCACATTTAATTGATCCTTAGGAGACCTCACATGAAACCTTCAGCTTTCTTGTCTTTTAACTCAGAGAGTAATTGCATCAGATTTTATTTTCTGTGAGAAAAATCCTCAGTGCCAACTTTAAGGCCTGCACGAAATCTGAAGTTAATGGGGGGAAAATAGATTTTTTAATCAGTTTTCATTGTCTGCGTACTTTATGGTTTTTTTAACTACAAAATAAAGCCTCGGTGAATACGTAGTTGTGCTTATATAGATGAGTCCACAACACAGTAACAAAGAAAGTCCATAGTCCAGTCTTTAAAACTAACAGTATTGACCACATGTAGTGTTCATATGTGTGTGTGTGTGTGTGTGTGTGTGTGTGTGCGTGTGCGTGCGTGCGTGCGTGTGTGCGTGCATATGTATCTTTAGAAACCATTCATGTTCTCATGACATTGTCTAAGGCCTTAAGCTATTATCTTACCTAGATTGCTGTAGTTACTGAGTGTTATAGTCTGTTGGAACTCACATTGTTGCTTTTCAAGGCCTGTGCCCTTAATTACTGGGCATTATTCCAGTTGGAAAAAAAAAATCATTATTTCCTAATTAAAGCAAATTCTCTAGTACTCTCCAATAAGTATTATTTTTGTAAATCTTCACATTGGACTGTATATTTGAAGAAAGGAATTTCCATTCATTTATAAATACTCCACTATTTAGACTATTACCACGGGCTGGCCCTCTCTCAAGTTTGGGGAGGCTAAATGCACTTTAAACAAACATTTCTACAAATTGAGTGACGTCTGTAATGGTTTCTTTTGCTCCTCACAGATGTTGACGAATGCACATCAAATCCCTGCACTAATGGAGATTGTGTTAACACACCTGGATCCTATTACTGTAAATGTCACGCTGGATTCCAGAGGACTCCTACGAAGCAAGCATGCATTGGTAAAGCAGGGTTTCTGCACACAGAGAACAGTGCAATGAAATCGAGTCAGCAAGGCTGTCGAAGTCAAAGGAAACTTATTTAAATAGAGACACGAATTACTTAGGCGCTGTTACGGTGTGGGTTTGTTTTATAATGCCCTTGGAGAATCTCCCTTTAAACATAAGCACTGTGTGTGCACGTATAACCCAGGCAATGTAGTTATCTGGCTTCAGAAACCTATAGTCTGCCTTCTTTGCCTCGACAGCACAGCTTCCTTCCTTCCTCCCGGCAATGCCAGCATTTCCCCTTCACTGAGCTTCAGATTTATAGTCGTTTTCAACGACTGTTTTCTTTGAGCCCCACTCACAATCCAGCACCACATCACGCCTTGTCTGTAGCCACAGCCTCATCGCTTCAGCCGCCACCATCATCATCCAAAACCTACCTCACTGCTGACTCATCTCAGAATCCATTTACCAGACAGCTTCACTTGTCTTTTCATTTCCTCCTCCCCCACGGGCACTTGGTTGTCTGAATCGACTCTCTCCTGCAATTATTATATTGCTCTTCACCCAGGACCCTGCAGCCTCTTTCACTACCCTGACTTGGGATTCCGACTTTTCAGGTCTTCGTCCATTATGCCCCAAATGGCTGCATCCATAATTCCAGCCTTCTCCTCCCCACTCCTAAGCTCACTGCACCCCATTTCCTTCTTGCTTTCGCTCCCTCTTCACCTACTATCTGGTCTGTAGAATTGCTCACACTTTCTGTACAAGAAGAAAAGCTAGTGAGGGACGGCAATGTTGCTGAGAAAGCAACACGATCTTGGGTATCATGTGTGAAAACACAGAGAGTATTTCAAGTGGCATGCATTGTCTTACTGTTTTTATTGACAAGCACTACAGAGGAACACTGTCTGGCTCTCTTTAATCATCTCAGATATTGATGAGTGCATCCAGAATGGAGTTCTTTGTAAAAATGGCCGCTGCGTGAACACTGACGGAAGTTTCCAGTGCATTTGCAATGCTGGCTTTGAGTTAACCACAGATGGGAAAAACTGTGTCGGTATGGAATTTGTTTCTAAAAAGATGGTTTTTAGAGGATAGACCTTTGATTTAGAACCACATAGATGATTTTTACAAAGGCTTCCTTCCACACCTCATGGGTGAAAGAAATCTGGTCACGTAACTTAGGTAAATACAATACAGATGCATTTAACATTGAGTATAGGAGAAAAGCGATAGCTAATTAGTAATGTCACAACAACTCATGATTTATGACTGCTCATCTTTTTCCTATGCAGTACATATTTAAGTATAAGTAACAGTTATTCCTCGGCAGTGTGCTGTATTTTAGGTGCTAGGGTCATAACACTGATAGGATAGAGAAGAGGCAGCCTCCTTCTGAATTTGGGAGAATACAGCAATGTTGGTATCCACAGCCACCAATTGGCATGCTTGGCATGCCGGTAGTCTTTGGCTGGCATGCTTGGCTGAGCAATAGATGCCAAAAGAGATGTGGAACTCGCACATTCACTAAGGGAAGCCCAGGTCACTTCACCAGCAATAAGGCTTACCATTGATTCCATTGCCAACCTAACGCCCACCGAAACCTTGTTACCTTTTCAAGAAAACAAAGCACCATTGATGTTTATATGGTTTCAAAGGCAACTAAACTAAGATATATTCCTTGCGTTTCCATTCATATGGAAGCTCCCTCCCAGTCTCCACACACTGTTGTCTTCACGTATGAGGCTTTCTTGTTTTGTTTTGTTTTTGTTTTTTGTTTGTTTGTTTGTTTGTTTTTCGAGACAGGCTTTCTCTGTGTAGCTTTGCCCCTTTCCTGGAACTCACTTGGTAGCCCAGGCTGGCCTCAAACTCACAGAGATCCACCTGCCTCTGCCTCCAGAGTGCTGGGATTAAAGGCGTGCGCCACCACCGCCTGGCGAGGCTTTCTTGTTTTGAAAGGTGAAGTGAACAAATGCCCAGCCCTGAAAACACTTCCACACAGACCATATTATACAGACCGGGCAGGGTGTGTTTATGTGTTCAGCAACCAGTGGGAAAGAAGCCATGAATGTGAAAGACAGCAAAGAAGGTACATGAGAGGGTTTGGAGAGAGGCAGAGGAAGGGAGAAATGATGTCACGATATCATAATCTCAAAGTAAAAGCTAAATGAGGCAAAAAAGTGAAATAGGACCCACAAGGACAGGATTCGTCTGTGAGGTGGTTTGGACTGGAGGTCATGGAAGGAGAGAGAGAGAGAGAGAGAGAGAGAGAGAGAGAGAGAGAGACTGACTTGGTTCTTTTGAGGCCAGGGGTCCAAGTCACTCTGTCTTCTGCCGCAGACCATGATGAATGCACAACTACCAACATGTGTTTGAATGGAATGTGCATCAATGAAGACGGTAGCTTCAAATGCATATGCAAGCCAGGCTTCGTTCTGGCACCAAACGGCCGCTACTGCACAGGTATGTACCGCTCTGAGATAAGAGAGTCGCCGTGATTGGAACCATCCTTTCCTGGTCTGTGGGTCATGCAGGAATAATTCCATTTTCCTTCCTTCGATTTCATGTTTTTCACATCTCCTGCCAGATCAGCCTGGCAGATAGATGTCTAAAGCTTCCTGGGGAAAGATACACTGTGAACTGAGAAACAACGTCTTTGCAAAGTAACAACGGTATAGGAGATACTAAGGGTGTGGCAGATTGATTTTATCAAGTCTGAAGAAAGCAATACAGAAATAATTTTTTGTGGCCTGTTGGCTAAATAATTAAGAGTAAGCAGAAACCTTGAAAAATTGTCATTTATATATATTCCCAGGCCTGGATTTTCCAGGGTCACTTTTTTTGGGCACAGTATCACATCTTTTCCATAGCACTAATCTACAGGTTGTTGGGAAACACATCATGATTTTATAATCTTAATTTAATTAAGTGAAGACATAATTTGAATGTTTTCGTTAACCATTTTGTTTACAAAGCCATCTTGGTGACTGAATTCTAGTGATAATTTTAATAATCAAATTAGAGTCCTCCTGGAAATCTGTGACACTGTATGATGTTCATACTCACAAGCAGCACTTTGTAACACGGAATTCATTTTGTGGTTTCATCTTGGAAGCAATCTTTTATTTTTACTTCGGTTTCCTCTCTTAGAGGAAATCAACTCAATGAATGCTTTCTGCCTTCAATTTCACCAATCTACCGGAATAAAATAAGATTTGCTACCAATTCCTCTGATTTCACTGAAATTCCAGGACAGTAGGGATACAAAGTAGGACTAAGTTCATGTATAACAAATAACTTTGACTTTGGAAAAAAAAATAGAAAAAGAAAAGAAAGAAAGGAAATACAGGATGAAGTGGAAAAGCTATTGCTTTGACCTGATTTTTCAGGTATCAGATATCTTTGACTGAGATTTAACACAGGATAGGTGACCAGCATTTCTCTGTATCATGCAGCATTGCATGGCAGTCTAGAACTTCATGGTTTCAGGGTTTCCTAGCAAAGTTAAATGCATGTATATAGATGACTTTGGCTTCCCCCGTGGGAATTTCTCTTCTGGAAATTATTTTTCATCAATTTTCTCACTACAAATGTCAGACTCTAGATGACTTGAAATGGCCACCACTTCTCAGTTCTGTGTCTGGGATGTGTTTCTGCTGTTGAGAATGCTACTTCATATTGGGCAGCATGTGATAAATGCCAGAAAACTGAAGATGTCAAGGAATATCTCAGCTTATTTTGTTAATGAAATGTTGAGATTAATGTCAAAAAACATCTATTTCTGTGTGGAAAAATATTGCAAAAATTGATCATAGATTTGTAAATTTTTACTTCACTTAATTTGAATTAAACATTATTAGTAGTAAACAAGGTAATCCAATAAACAATAGACATTATTAGACTCTTTCTTTTCCTCAATGCATACAGCAGATCTTATTCTGCCTTCTACAAAATGTGCTTGAGAAGACTATATTTTTATAGTTGGTCAGTTGCCATTTTTATATATTTTCCTGCAAGTTACTCAGTTGAAAGGCTGGTAGGATAGACCAGTTCAGCCAGCACTGTCTACTACTCTGTAATGGACCAGCTTCTGTCCCCCTCTGGGCAGATGTTGATGAATGCCAGACCCCAGGCATCTGCATGAACGGGCACTGCATCAACAAGGAGGGATCCTTCCGCTGTGACTGTCCCCCTGGCCTGGCTGTGGGAGTGGATGGACGTGTATGTGTTGGTAAGTGAGCATTCTGTAATGGCCTGATGGTCCCAAGTAATCTCTGAAAACATAAAATAGGATATATCTACATAGAGGAATAGTAATACTCAACCACAACCGAATGCATGCTGAAACACAGGGAAGGCTTAACCATATGCCAAGTGAAAGGGATCCATTTCAAAGAGGCCATATTGTGTATGGTGTCATTTATAGGAAGGGCCCAGAATAGGCCAGTCTGCATTCATTCATTGTGATGGCTTATAGCAGAAAGGACTGGGTGGCAGGGGAAGAAAATAACTGAAGGACATGCAAATGTTCTAAAATCCAATTGTGAGTGCTCTTAAAACGTAGGTTCGATGGGTAAATTCTATCGCTTGTGCACTGTATCTTAATATAACTGTTACAAAAATGAGACCCCCACACAGTCTCCTTTCAAAGCTTCTGATAATATACAAAGAAACAGAGTTTTGAATTCAGTGGGCATTCGTGTTATTATTAATAACAGATATGATTACAGTTACATGCATGTAAACTCTTACTTTTATCTGAACAAAGCTTGAATCGTAAGTGACTTGTTCAGTAGAAGTGTACTGATTTCTACAGCCTCAAGTTTTTAAGATTATTCCTCACCACAATCAACTACTAAAGGGAAAATAGGAGACTGAATGTGCGTTTTACTGTAAGCCATTCTGAATTCCTTTTGGAAATATCTGCTGAATGGATGCCATGAAAATGAATCAAAATGATCATGCAATGCCTTTCAAAAGACAGGCAAGAATGTGTAAGATGCTGTGGGCACCCCAAGACCTAAGCCACCATGCTGCAGTGATACTGGGGGTGGAGAAGTTAGGAAAACACTTCACGGGGTTTTCCCTTCCGAGTGCTTCTGTGAAGCTTGAAGGATGAGCTGGTCGTTTTACACCCTCTGATTTTCAGCTTAGGCAGGAAAACGGCAAGGCTGGTTTGAAAGTGTATTTTTGAGAGAAAGGAAATTCTTTAGCCCTAGTTGTTAATACTTTACTTCTAACTCTTGAATCCCAGGAGGGGTTAGGAGAGACAGGTAAGGGCCGGCAGATGGAAATCATCTGTTCTCTCAGACTCATCCTGTGTCCAGCCCAGGCTGCATTTCAGCCTGCAGGTTGTCAGCAACTTATCCAGGGGAATTTCAAATATAGCAGCCAGAAGAATGTAGCTCCTTCCTGTGCGGAGAGCTGAAGTGTTTTCAGTTGCCTTAAAACACTTAGTTGCATTTTGTCTACACCTACGTGATTCCATTGAAATCTAAAGTGAGCTGGTTTAGGAAGGAGAGATGATTTTTATTTCAAGCAGCCAATTTATGAATATTTTTCATGAAATTGAGGTTCAAAACCAAGGATTCTTTCTTTTATCCACATTCAGGGAACACATCAGAAATCATTGGAATGCCTTTGTGAAATTTTTCCTCATGGATTTCAGCTTTTTAAAATAAGAGCACATTGTTTGAGTGGGAAATTATATATTGCTATTCTCATACTATGGTAGATTTCTTCAGTCCACCCAATAAACAATGGGAACCATTCCCTACTATGTTAGGAAGAAGTCACTCCCATGAGTTATTTGAATTGGCTCTTTAACTTAGGTTTCTTACTTATATCTTTGTTTCTATAATAATTGAGTTTTTTTAACTTTCATAAAATTAAGCTATGGTTTTAATTAGCGTACTGAAGAACCATGATTCACAAACAGACAAAACTTATGTTTCCATACCTTCCCCATCCTTTTAAATTTTATTTTTTAGGTTTTTTTTTTTTTCAGTAGACAAAATGGATCCTGTAATGAAGGAAGAAAACTCCGTCTATTCTATAACTTAACTTTTAGGTAACAAGAAAATTCTATGAAGAGTTTATATAATGAGAATAATCTGAATTTAGAAATTAGAATGTTCACTAGCATGTATTAATTAATATTCCTAGCTGGGTTTTAAATAACAAATTCCCTTCCAAGCTCCACTCTTCAGGGAGGGAGGGTTTTGGAGTGCAGAGAGAGAGGCCGGCCCGGTGGAAGTAGGAATTCTTTGTGGTACTGGAACTGCCCTAGGGTGGCTTCAAGATTTCCCATCTTTGCAAACATTTACAGCCACCTTCTTCCTGTGTGCTTGCTACAAAGGCCCTCTCTTCATGTGACCCACCCCAAAGACATCCTATCCACTGCCCACTGTGACCCGAGGCTCACACTGCCACCATCTGTTCCTCACTCATACAGCACACATCATGGCCCTGGACTTGCCTGTTATACCTCCCAAGCAGGACGGATTGAAAAGTCCTTCCAGGGATACCATGGGACTCTTTAGGTCTTGAAAAGATTTAAAGAAGAAGAAAAACCTCAATTTATAACCCAGATTATGCACAAAACCCCTCTTTTAATAACTGTTCTTTTAAGCATTAGATAGATAAATAGATAAAGATAGATAGATAGATAGATAGATAGATAGATAGATAGATAGATAGATAGATGGATGGATGGATGGATGGATGGATGGATGGATGGATGGATGGATGGATGGATAGATAGGTAGATAGATATTCTTGATGTTGGACAGATATGAAGGATCAGTTATTAATTTCTTTCTATCTTCAGGATGGGATCTCAAAATTTGCCTTGCTTTTAGAAATTTTTCAGCTAAATTTTCTTTTTCAGCAGCTTTTTTTAAACACTAGCTTTAGAACATTGCATCATGTTTCCAAACACCAGCATTTTTGTTTCTAAAAAGTTACGTTCTTTTCTTCACTGGTCCCCTTATCTACCAGGTATGTAGTGTTGGACAGGACACAGCACCTCCCAGAAACCCTTTTCCTCGTTAGCTCTGTTGATTAAATATTGCTCCTGTAATTGGTTCCACAGCTTTCTGTCTACTTGCTTTTATTTTTTTTAATAATTTAAGTTTATTCATTTATTATTTTTACCTTCATGTACATGTACCTGGGTGAGTTTATGTACACCATGTATGTGCAGGAGAAAGTGTCAGATCCCTGGAACTGGAGTTATAGGTGGTTGTTATTTTCCATGTGGGTTCTAGGACCTGAACCTGGGTCCTCCACAAAAGCAGAAAGCACTTTAAGCCACTGAACCCTCTCCCCAGCCCAGTCAACTTGCTTTTGAAAACTGTCCATTGTATGTTCTTGTCCTGAAAACAGCAGTTACTTTGACCATACTCTGATCTCTTGCAAAATTATTGGTAATCTCTAGAACCCTGACAGAAATCCTATTGTAAATCCAGGCTGTGTTCCTCGGGGTTATGGTGATGATAAACTTGGGGCCTATTCCATGTGAAAACACAAACATCTCCTTGTTTAACAGAGCTGTAAGTCTGATTCCTTTCATGGTCAAAACTGCTAGGACCTAAGAAAACATTAGAAGACACCCTCTAAGAAACAGATACAGTTATTTCCAACAACTTGTGAACAATGTGAGATACTTACAATGGGGGCTATTCCCTGATGAAATTACCATGCTCTACTACTAAGAAACTATGCTGCTTCTCTGACTTTAAAGATAGTCTATTTTTTTTAAATAGTTCATTATGTACTGCCTCATAAAGCCGTAATATATTTCATAAGGCTCAGGAATGAGAGAATCAAGCAGAGTGAGGTTTTTAGGGGCATGGATGGGTACAGTGGCAAGAGGAGTTACCTTGGAAGCCACACAAGCCTACAGTCAATCCCAGCCTGGGCTTGTGACTTTGACCTATTTACATATTCTTCCTCAGCTCTAGAGTTGGTGACCTGACTGTTTCATGAGATCCTATTTGCATAGCCACCCAATACAGTGCCAGAGACAGTGGTCCCTTGTCTTTTTCTTCCATTTTGAAACAGGGTTTCACTATGTAGCTGGCCTAGAACTCACTCTGTAGACCAGGCTAGCCTCAAACTCACGGAGATCTGCCTGTCTCTGCCTCCTGAGTGCTGGGATTAGAGTTGAGCGCCGCCGTACTCAGCTCATTTTTTTCCCCTAACTATTAGTTGAGCATCAAAGACAAAAACATGGTCACCACCAGCATCCTGAGAGTTGAAAAGAAAGATGCCCTCATTTAAAAGGTCAAAGCAAGCAGTCCCCTAGACAACACTCTAATCATTTCAAAGCACTTTATCCTCACTGCTCCTTAGAACTGCTCCAGCAGAAACAAGAGGTAAGTGCCAGGCTGAGGCTAGGACAACTCCAAGATTAAAGCTCAAGGTGGTGCTTTTAACTGTCTCTATATCCTTACCCAATGGAAGACCTGTAAGAATAGGTGGGAAGGTGGGTACCTGTGTGTCACAGGCTGGAGCTGGGGACCGCGGTTGTTGGCATGTTTTCAGTCGTCCCCTTAGTCTACATGCGTATTTGTTCATTCCCTAACTTTGAAGAGGCTAAAGATGCATAAGAGGGCGTGGCAGGTGTTCTCTGGAAGTCCCCAATATAGTCACCTCTTAGGTCAAAGAAGCTTTCCATTTTACATTCTCTGTCTCTCTTACCATGCGTCTATTTCTGGTAGACACTCACATGCGTAGTACCTGCTATGGCGGAATCAAGAAGGGAGTGTGTGTGCGTCCTTTCCCCGGAGCAGTGACCAAGTCTGAGTGCTGCTGTGCTAATCCCGACTACGGCTTTGGAGAGCCCTGCCAGCCTTGCCCTGCTAAAAATTCAGGTATTCCCTTGTAGTAAGAAACTAGAAGCTCAGTAGTAGAATTTGCCCATAGATCATATTCACTCTGAATTGTGTTGTCCTTATTCTGAATCGAAGAAGAATAAGCCGAGTTTGCATCGGTCTGTGAGGCATGTGGTCAGAATTTGCAGAATGTGTGCATGCTTTCGCTGTACCCACAATCAACACAGTGAATAGCAACTATTTGCTCATGCAGCTGTGATTGTGGCACAGATTTTATATTCAAATGTTACTTCAATTCCCTTGGTCAGTGTTGTTATTGAGAATATAAAATACCTTGATATGCACTTGCCATTATTGAATTTATAATATACAAGACAATCTGATTGACTTTTGAAAAATCTTAATACCTTATAATGTCAAGCCCAAGGTCCATCAAAGTTGACTCTTGTTCATTCACGCTTTCAATGAGCCTCTGTGATATACAAGTAAGCACAGTGGGGTTCAAAAATAAATTCCCTGCTGCTACTTCTTCTTCAGGTTGAAGATACTTGAGATCACAGGCAGCAAACATGAATTACAATGTAGTATGATCAGCACCAAAAAGGGTCAGGAACAGAGACCAGGGAAGGCACAAAGGCTGAAGCAGCAGTTACCTGGGGCAGTGAGGAGAGAGATGCTTATAGTTCTCCTTCCATGTGGAAGATGGGAGAAAACTTCCAACAAAGTTGTTGGGCTTTGAGTTCTGTTGAAAGTCTTAAATGGCTTGTTCAAACCTTGGAAAAATATTTGATACATCTTGAATTACTGAATATGACATTTTCTTTTTCTTTTTTTATTAAAGAGGGGAAATAAAATATACTAAACTACATATCAGGTATCAAAACACAGATTTAAACTGAAAGAAAGCATTTCCTATATCATCCTTTACTCTTCAAGGAACATAAATTAATTAGTAAGGAAAGTCAAAATGCTCTGCTGAAAAAAGTGTAGTACACACAGTTTTGCAAAGGAGAACATAAATGGTAGCTTTCCATGTGAAAGAAAAAAGTCTCCTATAAAAATTATAATGAGATGACAATTTTATTTGTCAGATTGAGGAAGCTACAGGCAATTAATTTTTTCCTGTGATGGGAAGCTATGCCAAAACAAATACTCTTAAATGACAGATGGATGAGTATTCTAGGAACAGGGAAGGGATGCTAACCTCAAAAGAAGCATTCACTCAGAGAAGTTTTACTTCTAAAAAAATTAATTATTCAGGTAGAACAGCTCAAGTTATCATTACTTGTCTAAGTTTCTCCAAGTTGGAAAGACCCAACTACATCAGTAAGAGACTGATACAGAAATTGAGTCCCTCCATATCTCTGTGAATAAAATATTGATGCTCCAGTAAATGGGGCATTGACATGACATGTCTGTGACAGTTCTCAGGACCCAAGCCTGTTACTCTGCTCATCTCAGTGACTTTGGACAAACTACTGTGTTACTCTTTGTCAGTTTTCTCTCTTGTAAGAAGGAAAAAACGTTTCTAGTTGGTGGTATTAGGACAAGTAGATTATTAGTTGTAAAACGGAGAATACCCGGTATTGGGTAAACATGATGATGTAAGTTTTGACCCTTGTCATGTTATCATGGAGGAAAAAAAGACAAAAACAATATGATGACATGTCTTAGATTAAAATTGCATGTGAAAAGTATTCTAACATTTATCAATGTATTGAGATCATCCTGAACCATGGTTATAAGCAATTCTACTACTTAGACTTTTCTATGATTTTTAGAATTCTTGAAATAATTATGTTCTAGAAAACAGTGATTTTTTTAGTATTAAAATGAATTTACATAAAATTGTTATGTTAATGACCGAGTGTGGAGTAAGCCTATTTTAAATTTCCTATTTCCATCGTTATATTAATGACTTGTGGAGTGGGCGTGGCTTAACATTTCTGTTTGTTTTGGTCCCACAGCTGAGTTCCATGGCCTCTGTAGCAGTGGAGTAGGCATCACTGTGGATGGAAGAGGTAATTCTGCTCAACGCTCAGTCTCACGGCTGTAAAATATAAATATATAGCTTTCTGATCAGCATATGAATATGGTTATATTTACTGTGAAGATACACAGATGGAGAATGAGAGGGTGAACCATCTTCCAGAAAAATAGTTGTTAACTTAGATGATGTTAAATGGCATTTCACATGTGACAGCTTTTCATTACAGGTAAATATTTATCCATTAAAAGTACTTCACTGAGAACCTTACTATCAAGCCGTATTGTATTTGGAATTTTCTCCGGTCTTGCCTGGCCTTGCGGTCTGGAGGAATCTCTCCCACCCATGGTCCTGTAGCCACTTATAAAATAATCACTCGGGGGCTTAATATTAATTACAAACTGTTTGGTCTATGGCTCAGGCTTTTTGCTAGCTAGCTCTTATAACTTAACTCAATCTATTCCTATTAATCTGTGTTTTGCCACATGACCATGACATTACTGGTCTGCTGGCATCTTGTTGCTCCTTCAGCAGGAGGCTCTCATCTCTCTCATCCCACCTTTCTCTTTCCTGTCTCCTTGGATTTCCCACCTGCCTCCAAGCTGCCTTGCCATAGACCACAGAAGCTTATTTATTAACCAGTGGGAACAACATATATTCACAGGGTACAGATAGACATCCCACAGCATCATGCCCATGATTTTATTGAAGACAGCACTACACCAAATAATTATACAGATAGAGCTAGAAAAATACCCATCTTTAAGGGATATTTGTTGTGGATCAGGTCTGAAATATACTGTCCCAAAATAACTAAGATGGCTTATGCTGAAAAACCACCAACATGTTTCAGTCTAGCTGCAAAAGTAAAATTTATTCAAGTTTTCTTATTTCAAATTTGGCATTATCTTTTAACAAAACCCTGACAGAGAAGCAAGTGCATCTGTGTTTGCATGTGTATAGGCTTGTGGCTGTGTTTGAGGAGTCTGTAAATCTTCAGGCACTGTTGGTGAGTTTTAAATATCTGAAATCAGAGAAAGAGGCATAATTTTACTGGGATATTTTTCCCAAATATAAAATGAAAAGTTAGGTAGATAATCAGAGAGTTTCTAAGGAGTTCCTTTTAGTTCCCTTTTTTTTTTCTTTTTTAAGACAGTGCTCGAAGCCCAGGCTGGCCTTTACTTCCTGATTCTCCTTCCCTGTCCCAGGTGCTAGCATTATAGGCAAGTTCTGGCTGCCTGATCCTTCCCAATTCCTATAAACAATCATCAGAATTGGATCACAGTGAAGAAAATGGGAGTTTTGTACCACAGTATTTTGTTGTTGTTATTTTGTTTTATTTTTGGTTTTGTTTCTTCCCTGTCGGTGACCTCCCACCAGAGACCCCTGCCTGTTGGGAACTGTATGTTTGTTTCACTGGAGTTCAAGTGCCACTGTCCCTGGGCAGCACAGCGGTTGTCATGTCCCTGGCTTGTTATAAAGCATTGTGTTGTCAAGTAGCTGTGTTGGAGTGTTTTTTGGATTCATTCTAATGCATGAACAATGAGAAGCACTGTGTCCTATTATTTAAATAAATGCTAAATATGAGAAGGAAGCAAGAACATCCTGTGACTATAAAATCATACGGGCCTTCCTAATAAATCTCTGTGTTTTAATTAGATGGCTATAATACTCATTAAATTGAGTTTTCCTTTAGATTTTGAGCCAACAGCCTATAAATGTTCTTTATTAATTTTGTCAAAAATATAGACATACTACATGACTTAATTATTTGGGTGCTGCCAACTCCTTTCATTTTTTTTTCTCTTGACTTACCAGTGAAGTGTCTTGTGTCCTTCAGTTTTATTTTCTTATTATCTTTCCTTTTTCTTTCTAAAAGGCAAATTGTAGGTTTTCAAGGTTAGATACTCCAGGCATCAAACGCTCCTTATTAGATCCTCATTTGTCAACAAACAGGTGTCTGTAGGTGTTAAGCATGCTATATTTCCTGCAGATATCAACGAGTGTGCTTTGGACCCTGACATTTGTGCCAATGGGATCTGTGAAAACTTGAGGGGAAGCTACCGCTGTAACTGCAATAGTGGCTATGAGCCAGATACTTCTGGAAGAAACTGCATTGGTAAGTTCCTGGTGATATATGGACAAGAGCCACTCACGTTCTTTAATTCCATGGGTAAGAGAAGAAACAGCCATTAATGATGAAAACCAGAAAACCCCGAGCTTCTCTTACTGCCTTTGTATTGTACATTGATACAAAAGTATTAGAATTGAGTTCCACAACACAGCATCCAACCTGTTGGGGTACTTGTGTATTTAGATAATCTTTTCCCAAATGAGTGAATACGACTGAATTATTCACCCCCTGCTTCTCTGTAGTTATCTTAATCCTAAGTGTTTTCAGTGAGGTGTGGACTTCAAAAGCTAACACCCTTGATAATGATAAGTTGGGAAAGTGCAGTGTTCCAGGTTGGCGGAACCTTGACCTTATCAAAAAACCGCTAGTTGCTGCTGCATGCCTAAATATGATAGCTGAAATAACTAACTTATAAAAAACTATGTAAAGAAAAACCTCATGTGTAACTTATATTCAGCAGAAAGAAAAGGAGGACGATCAGGAGGCCTCCAGTCCAGTGCTTTATTAGTTTATATATTTAAGAGACTGGATAGAATCAACACTGTCTTGAAGAACAATTGAGTCATTTTCATAAAATGAGAATTATTGGAGCTATCATTATATAGAATACTTACAAATTATCCATAATGCCTTTTACAAGCCAGCAGTTGATGGTTATGAGTAACGAAACTTAATATTCTGTGTTTCTGCTAATGGTTTTATTACTTAACATACCCATTTGATCTTGAGTTTAAGATGTATACAGATGGACTTAAATTGCTTTCTTATTATTATCTACTTAAATAGATTGTACACATACAGGAAAGGGTACCAGCCAAAGGTCACTGAACAGTTCTAAAAGCATGCAGATGAGCCAGGAGTTTGGGACCGTGGCTAGGAGCTTGCCTAGAACTATGGAAGCCATGGGTTCAATCCTCAGCACTACATAAACCAAGGGTGGCAGCCCACCCATAATCCCAGAATTTGGGAGTCAGGAGGATCAGGAATTCAAGTTCAACAGCTGTCATAGTCCCAGGCCAGCCAGGCTGGAAATCCTGTCTCAATAAATAAATATAAACCAAGCCATCTTTTATTCAGCAGAAGCAAGGGCACTTCCAAATGAGCGTGTGGGTGGGGCCCTTTTAAAACCAAGAAAAATTTTGTGAACATTCCCACTCAGAACTCAGCTCAGACACTTTACATACATGTAATGCTTGTTAAAATTTATAGATGGAGGAATTGGAGAGATGTTGCAGCAGTTGATAGCATTGGCTGCCCTCCCTGTGGACCAGGGTTCATTTCCCAGCACCCACATGGTGGTTCATAACTATCTGTGACCCCAGTTGTCAGGATATGTGATGCCCTCTGTTGCTCTCCACAGACATTGTGTGCACACATGCATGCAGACAAACACACACCCAGAGATAACATAAAAAAACATGTAAGTCTTATCAAGTGTTTGACTTACCATTTTCTTACCCATTGCTCATGGAATTGAACTGTGTCCCTTGGTAAACATACATCAACATCCTCAACCTTAGTAACACAGTATGTGACCTCATTGGGATTAGATTTTTTTTTAAAATGTGTGTCTGATTTTTTTTTTTTTGAGAAGTTCATATGTGCACACAAAGCATTTTCATCATACATCTCCTGCCTCTCCCCCAGCGCCTTCTACACCCACCTCTCCATCTTCTACTCTCCCACCCCCTCCAACTTCATCCCTTTAAAAAAAATGACCAGTTGAGTCCGATTTGGGCCGCACCTATAAGCATACATGTATCACCACTCACTCGAGCTCGGTCAACCTACGGGGGGCCACACCCCTAAAGAAAAGTGACTGGGTTTAGACAATTCTCACTTAAATCTACATGTTAAAAAGTCGGAATCAGAGCAAAACATTGCATCCAGAGTGGGGAAAGATAAAAACTACCGATGGCGGTGATATGTGAAATCATTTTCTGATCCCCATTTTCAGTATCGTCGGGGTGACACCATGTCCTCTGACAAAGGGGGGCAGCTGTGTGCAAGATGAAACGTGTAACGTGAAGCCAAAGGCTCTCCTTATCCCCAAGTATAGTTACTATTTCTTCCTCTTGGTAACTCTGCTTGCTGATAAACAGTCGTTGCCTGTAATCTCAGCCCACAGTGAGTGAATTCGATGCCAGCCTGAGCTACACGGTGAGATCTGTTCCAAATAAAATAAAGTGAGATAAAGCTGATGTGAACTTTTGAACCAACTGCAGGTTTTAAACCGTCTTCTCTGGGCCACTCCGGATGGCGAGAGGAATGTACGAAATGCATCAACAGTGTTCCCCTAGTAACTCTTCTTCCTTTGCTAAAAACACAATGGGAAGTTTTTCCTTAACCAACACTTAACGCATTCTTGGAATTGTAACCAGAAAAAAAAAAAAGAAAAATACCATATTCTTATTATATATAAGTTTACTGGTAAATGAGTTTAACTTTCTCATATATTTTATCAGTGCTTTAAATGTAAAAATAAACCTAACATAATCCCATTTAGGGGGGAAAAAAAGGTAACTGAAGAAAAAGAAAGAAAGAGCCCTGGCTATGTCTTACACATTGCCAAAGGATTTCAGAAGATCTTTAAAAGCATCCACCAGTGTAAGAATGTACTGTGTGAATAGCATGGGTATATTTGCTCTAGTGTGGCATAAAGATATGGAGCCAGAGAGGAGAGTGGAGGACAAAACCCAATAAAAATAAAACGTAGGTGGTCCGTGTGATATGCCTTTAACCATTCCCACCTCCTGTCTTCCGCCGACTGCTTGCAGACATTGATGAGTGCTTGGTAAACAGACTGCTGTGTGACAATGGCCTGTGCAGAAACACCCCGGGGAGTTACAGCTGCACGTGTCCCCCTGGCTATGTGTTCCGGACGGAGACGGAGACCTGCGAAGGTAAGGGCTGTCTGTCTTCCTTCACTTGGCATGTCTGCGCCCAGGAAGCATCTCAAGATATATCAACAGCAGTCACAGCGAGGAGGTGTCGTCAAAACACGTGTGTGAATATCTTCCCAGTTTTATGATCTCTGTCCACTGATTTGGAAGTTCTGGAAAAGGCATTCATATAAACACAATTTATAAACACTGTTGGTTTGTTCTGTTCACATAGAATATCAACAAGCACTTGGAAAAACTAACACAAAGAGCCGTGTTATTTTACTTGTTAAAATAAAATATCTAATTTTGTTCACTTGGTTTACCCTTTAAAAAAAAATCACTGTGACACATTAACCTACAAACCTACATTCCAAAAGCACTCAGCTGCCAGCCTCTTCATTATGAAATGGATGGTTCACAGTGTCAACCCAGGAAAATGTTTGGAACCCATGTGAAACTAAGTCCTCACTGAAATATGTAGTCTATGAAAATTATCCTTTCCATTTGACAAGTTGAAGGCTATCATTTGGGTTTTGTAGACCCAAATTAGGTCAGGATTTTAAAACTTCTTCTTTTATGCCATGAGTTTCTGTGGGGCAAGTTGCTTGAACAAATTAAATGGTGGAGGAGGTCTCTGTTTTCACTGAGGCTCAGGCTGTGAATAAGTGCATTCAGTGATGATTTGATATCTTAATCACAGTTCCACTTCAGAATAGTCTGTCTCTTCACTACCGTTCATTTCGTCCTTTAGTTTCTACGAGGTGGAGCTGTGGAGAATTCCTATCCTATGCTTGAATCCAGTTACTGCTTCCAAATAGTGGCTTGTTTTAAGAAAGTTAATAATAATTAATGCAGAATGACCCTTTTCTTTTCTGGGGGCGTAATTGTTCCTTAGTGACTCCATACCCAGGAAAAATGCAATAGCACTATATTATGCCAAAAAAGAAAAGAAAAGATGTTAGCATTCTCTCCTCATCTTCTTCTTTAACTTCAAAGCATTCTTGTGGACAGAAGCAAGTTAGGACTATTGAACAAGATGCCAGAACACAAATGTCTCTGCTGAAGCCAGTGGAATGCAATTGCAAAGCACAGTACTAAACTTGGATTGAGTCGGAGGGATGTCTGAAAAACAGTAATTAACCAAGGAGGGGGTGGATAATCATTTACATAAAATCACATTTTCCTAAACTTAGCTGACGTAATTGTTTCCCTTATTGTCTGACAGGACACACCCATCCGTCCCACATTAGAGTACTTGGCTTCTCTTCACAGATGGCTAGGGGTTCCCTAAGAGTGAGGGGCATTTGTTGGTAAACTCAGCTCAGGCACCTCAACTATACGTGTGATGTTTTCTATTTTCTGGCTTCCATTCTCTCTCCTCATACTCATTGTTCTTCAACATTCTCCGAGAAGAGATTGTTTAGTAGATTTGCCTATATTGTTTTCTTCAGAGGGATGAGATAGGGAGTTTCTACCATTTGTGTTTTTTGTGGGTATTCCTTTGTCTGCTGCTGCATTTATCCATTTTACCAATTCAGTTCTCTATTAAAAAGGTAAGTTTGTCTAAATCCCAGGAAACTTAAAAAGCAAGAGTAAATATAATGCCGTCTTGATTAACTCAGAGCTATTGATGATTAAGGTCTGGTTTCCCATCTGTCATATGCAACTATACCCTCTGGTGATCACATGAGCAAAAAAGTGGGAACTACATGGCTGGGGTCTGGTGCTGTGGTATGTACCCTGAATTGTCAAAACAAGTAAGACAGTGTTGAAAGGTACCGATAGGTAAACTACCAAACAGGTAAAAAGACCAAATGACATTTAGTAGCAAAATGTTGGATGGTCACATAAATTTTAAGGCACTTCAGTGGCAAATCAGCCAACAAGGAATGGTGGAGAGACTTCTTGACTTACTTTGTTCAAGGGACACTTGTTCTTAATAAACCTTAGTCTTTCCTTTGATATGGAAATGACCTTTATCTGTTATTCACAGGAAAGACGTTCATGGTGCATGAATAAAAATGAAACGATAGAAAAATATTTGGGCTCCAACCTTACAATGTTGGTGAAATTTAAAAAAAAAAAATTAAAATGATTTACACAGGAAACTTTCCCAAGTAACTTTTTTTACCCATTGTTAAATTATTTGCATTCCATTTAAAGTTTTCCTCACGACTACATATGTGCAAACCCAGAAGCCACTCATCTCTTGTCTCCTTGAACATCCCTACCTCCACCGTTGGGCACAATTTGTCAGCCTGAGCTCTATCCATGATAGTCTTCCTTATTAATTTCCAAGGGCTAGACAGAGAATTAGGACTGGGTTCTTCGCAAATTTCAGCTTTCTGTATATGCATTTTCTCTGTTCACTTATTCTATTTGTAATTCATGTTTTCAATAGATTAATTTAAATATATAATAAACAACAGTACCAATAAGCAGGAAGTTCCTCTGTATTTTTTAGGCTGAGGTTACAAAAAAATTATTTCATTTTGCTTGAGCTTGGAGAGTCTGCGAATGTTAAAATTTTGACATCAAGTACTGTGGTTTAGATTGTGTTCCCAGTGACATAACTAGTTAAATGTAAACCAGATGTGCTTTGAAGTTTATTTCCAGAAATGTACAGTGAACTGTTTCAATTTCTGGTTCCATGACATTTATGCCATAAAAACATTGTATTTAAGGGAAAACTAAATAGTCGATATTTGTAGCTGTTGCTGGACGTGTTTTTGAGTTGGCCATTGCTTAATTCAAAATGGATATTTGTAAAACTATGGTACCAGCACTTTCTTTTGGGGGGAGTCTTTTCACAAATAAATTAATTGGAGAATTAAATGTGGACTGTCCTCTGATGGAATGCCTACTTCCCGCTCTCCCTAGTATTTTTTTGTGTGCGTGTGCTTACATTTTCATGAAAGGATTTCAATATTGTAGAATATTTGCTTTCATTAAAAAACCTTCCATTTGAATTAGTGTATTATAAATACTTGCATTTCTCTTTTAAGAAATCTTTTTCCATTGCAAGCAACCTGAAAGCAAAATGCACTCATATTTCCCCCAATAATTTATAGTTCAAGAGCTAAATTAATACCTGAGCACATCTTCAGACATTCTGAAGTGGCGGTAATTGCTCTTTGCACAGGTTTTTTAATTAAAATATAATTATATAATTCTCTCCTCATCTCTTCTCTCTCTCCTATTCTTCCCATGCAGTCATCTTTCAAGTTCATGGCCTCTGTTTCTCTAATTGTTGTTACATATGTGAGTCTAAATAGATAAATCTAACCTGCTCAGTCCACATACTGTTACTTGTATGGATATGTTTTTAGGGTTGACCACTTGCTACTGAATAACCAATTGGGGGATCTTCCCTGCTCTCAACATTCCTTACTTGCCTATAGTTCTTTGTTTAGGGTTTAAGCTGTCATGAGCTTTCTCCCTCCCATGTTAGCACATCTTTTGTCTTTGTACGTAGATTTTTGAGTTGATATTTTTAACCCATTGGCTGGCAGTTCAGCTCTGAGCCTGCCCCTTTCAGGACTAGTTTATTTATATTTACTTGAGTTAATCAGGAGCAAGCATTAGAGCCTTCTAGCTTTACTTACAAATCTTCTCCAATATTTTAAATAAAAAAGTGTCTATATTAAATCCAAAGATAGGTGTTGAAGGGCATGTCTCCTTGGGATTTCAGAGACCCTACTGTTTAACCTAAAAGTATTGACGTACATTGCTATGTTTGGAGTACTTAAGCAAGGAGAGATGGGATTGAGTGGCAGCTTTTGTAGCTGAGTAACTGGATTGAATGGAAAGTGTCCTTGATGTTATTGTTCATATTTTAACTGAGACCCGTGTTTACCTTTTATTAACTCACGTGTTAAGGTATTTAACTTTATAACTTTGAGAATTTCTTAGACTCCTCTTGAAAACGTAGGTGTACTATGATTCTATTTGCTTTTGACATCAACAAGAATTGCTTACATTACTAGTATATCATTTGACTTAAGACTAAGAGCCGTAATCATTGGAGTCCTACTGAGTGCAATCAAAGCTAGTACTTTCTTTCTATTTTTAATGGTTCTAGAGATTAGATTTAGGGCCCAAGTTATGTGCTCTGCCACTGAACAATTCCCCCACCCTACCCCAGCTCTAGTTTTCCTAATTTATGTCTTACCAAAGTAATTCATTAAGTAATCATGTAACTGTAAAGGGCTCAAGAAAGAACGGTGGATAGTGACTGGGGAAAATTCTGGAGCCAGGATGAATATCCCAGTCCCTGTTTCCTGATTTCCCTCTAGGAGTTCAGAATTAAAGCCAATGTTGGCATGCTTTTCTCTTCAAACTTCACAGAACTATGAGAGACAAAAAACAGTCAGCCTTTGTTATGCCAAACGATTACAGCCTATTAAAGAGCTAACCAAATCAACTCTATGTACTTAGAGTCATAGAAGGAACACATACTGAACCCTTTTCCAAATAGGCTGTTCCTGATGGTCCTACCGAGTCTTTAGTCATGTAGATGTGCATCCACGCTGTAGACCACATGTCTTCGTTCCCCATTCACTTCAGGCCTTGTAGATCCCTATTAAAAGTACAAGAGCCAAGTTTACCAGACATTCTGGCATAGCGAGGCTTGCTGGAATAATATTTTCCAGAAACCCATGGCAGCTCTAACGGAATCTTTTCCTTCTGCATTGTAGATGTAAATGAATGTGAGAGCAACCCATGTGTCAATGGGGCCTGCAGGAACAACCTCGGCTCCTTCCATTGTGAGTGTTCGCCCGGCAGCAAGCTCAGCTCCACGGGATTCGTCTGCATCGGTGAGATTCCTACAGGGAGTCCCTGGGAAGGTCATCCCACACCTCAGCCTTCCTGTGGTGGAAACAGAACAAGAACAGAAGTTAGGCAGGCTGTTCCATTCTAGAACACCCCCCTTTTCATGTCAATAGATACATGACGCTGTGGTTGTACACGCTTCTCTACATACACATTTCGTCGTACCCTTCAAATGCTTTAGGCACGGGTACAGTTGAATCCTGTCACAGATCTTTAAACCTTCTTTCGTAATCAAAGACATGATGGGATTTGGATTCAGTTCACAGAACAAGAATTTGAAGATTTTTAAACATGAACACACAGAGGGAGTTTAGTATTTTCCTTTCTCTCATCCATCACAAGTTGATAGGCTCCAGAGAAAAGAAGATAAGTGTTCTTTTGCTTTGGAAAATCTCTAGGGATAATACTATGACTCAAAATGTCTAAGGCCAGTTCTTTTATTCCAAGTTTTGTTCCAAGATAAGTTTTTGATGTATAGTCCAGGCTGGCCTAGGACCTGATGCAGAGCTGGCTGATTGGGAATTCACAATTCCTCTGTCTCAGCTTCAAAGATCCTGAGATTGCAGGCATGGGCCACCATGCCTGCTTAAGACCAGGTCTTTGTAATGACACAGAATGTATACAGAGCAAGATAGTCTGATCTAGAAAAAAATGTCATGTGTCAGGGAAAGTCTGCCCCAGACATTTCTCTGTACATCTAGCAGCATGCCACAGTCCCCATGGATACCTAACATCCACCTTTAAAGGGAGCTTTCCATGGTGTCATATAAATGGGCGAGTCCTTGTTTGTTGTCTAGCCAAAATGCATTAGTGATTTAATAGTTAAATAAAGACACAAGTATTTTTATCATTGTCTCCATAGAGAGTTGGATGCTAGCGTACCTACTTGTTTTTAATTTGAAATGACCAAGACCCAGATTATCAATGGAACCCTCTTTGGAGTCATGTGTTCATTTCCTAGTGAAACATGGCCGCTGAAATCTTAGCGCTGCTCAGCTTTCCTTTTAAAAATCAGTTGCCACACACCTGGGGCAGGGCTTCATTTTTTTTAAACCTAATTACTAGTGTTTGGAGGTATGGGTACCAGATCTGTAAAACAGAAATATTTTTGCTAAGGCACGATTTACAACTAAGATGGAATTATTTATATTATATAAAGGAAATGAACTCAGCATCAGTCAGTTAATAGTCTGAGAAAGCGATCTGTATGCTACTTGAGCATCAAAGACATCTTCCTTTCTGATTCATCATACAGACTTTTATCATCCTGGCCTTTTGTCCTTATAGTTATTAATGAAACAAAGACGTCCTATTCCCAAATCATTAAGTCATTCTTCCATTTGCCAACAACTAAACACCACCACATTTCCCGGGCCGGTGTCTTAAGTTTTTCATTCGTTATGATAAAATGTGTTTCTGTTGGTTTTCTTTTTCCACCATGTGAATCCCAGGAATAGATCTCACCAGGCTTGTTGGCAAGCACGCTTACCCACTGAGACACCTCTCCAACCTGCCTTGAACGTGTTTTCAATGGGGCTGTCAGTGACCTTAATCAGTGATTACCCCACCACCTCTAGTCACAGGGTCTAAGTCATTAAGGGATGAATATTCTACTTTTTGGTTACTAATTTGAAGTTAGAGCATCTGGGACTTCATTGCGTACTAAGAATAGTTATAGAGTTCGAGTTAATCCATTGATATACCAAAGATGATCCTAAGTGGTTTTGTAAGTGTCTATAAGACTGTCGTATTCTGGTTAGTGTTGTTAACCTTGACAGAACAACACACTTGATTCACTTTTCCTGGGTGGTACAGCTCTAGTGCCATAGTGCCATATAATCCAGACCTGTGT